ATATTAATATACATCGAATATACATAAAACGTAACCTCCATATCCATCGTCAGGGTTATCATTTTGGAACGACGCATGACTGAAGCTAAAACTGCGGAGGTATTAAACAATGGATGAGGTAAGAAGTGGAGGTAGTCAAAATTAAAGTGGGAAATTACATTTTTCGGATTACTTATAAAATCCATAAGACGTAGAGAAATTTAAGATAAACCTAAGCCTATGAGCAAGATCGAGGGCTCACAGGCTTTTAACCGCTCCGCAACATGTGTTTGTTAAGCAGCTCTTTTCGTAACGATAAAACGCTAAAAAATTTAGATTTTTCATTATGTCATTACATAGAAATACTTGTTTAGAATTTATGAATTCGCTTGTAAAGTAATGATTTAATGAAAAATAAGTGCTATTACCATCTTTTCGTGCATGAAGCAAATTTGCTGATAATATTTTTGTGGATGTAGGGGAAAATCTTCCCAATTCATTTCCTTTCTTGCCTGATTGTTTTCACAAATGTTAATCTCGCTCCTTTGCAGCACGAATTTTCCTCCCTAATCAAAATGAAACGATTGCACGAATACTGAGCTGTACACATCTCTGTAAAAAGATATTTTTAAGAATGAAATAAGTAAAATCCCACAATAGATTGGTATTGGAAATTGAATTTTAGTAGTACACTTGAAAGGAACGCAAACTTTGGAAATATAATATAACAAACCTTGTAACTTTGATGAAAAGGACCTTCAGATGAGTGAAATAGCTCACAATTCATTCAACTCATTTATAAATTAGTGTTGCAAATATTAAATCCACGTTCTGAAATGCTGTTATTGTGGCTAACCTTCCTGATTTAGGCATAATACAGAACAGGTTCACGAATTCATAGTGGTCATGAGATAGACAGTTGCGTTTGTCGTAGGCTTACAGCTTTGGGTACTTTATAAATGATAATACAAGTTTGCCACGCTGAATCCCAATTTTAATGCAGAATAATTTGGATAATGGATTCAGAAGTCTTCTCTCTTTTTCTACCATCAGCACCTCGAAGGGACTTTCAACTCGATCCCCATGTGGCAAACACAATGCACTTTCACAAACATCCACGACTTTTCCGAGACTCGTAGCTGAATCCAATGATGCGGAAATCAGCACTTCCAACCGCTACGTTAGTCAAATTGGCAGTTTTGAAATCCACCAATAAGAGATCTGTAGACACATTTTTTTTTTCCTTATTAGTACCCTATTTACAAGAACCTTCGGTCTACCTCTTGATTTGCAAAGTTTAAGAATATCTAATATATGGCTTTTAAAACGGTCTAAAGTTAAACTAATATTTAGTCCATTGAAATGACATGATCCGATTTTTGACATCAAGATATCTATTATCTTTTCATTCATTAATTTTTTTATTAATCTTAGGTATATTTACATTTTAAAAGCATAAAAATTTCCAAATTTTTACAATATCATTGAAAAGAATAAAAAAAAAAGTAAGAATTTAAAAATCTACATTAATAAGTATCTCGAAGCAACGTAATAAAGAAGTTTCTTCGTGGTTCTTTTCTATAAAACATACCATTCATTTAGCCAGAAATATAACCGGTGATGGTAAACAAACTCGCTGTCTAACCCAATCCCCTCGTCGGAAACTTAAAAGCTATATATACAAATACATGAGAGATAGAAAAGAGAGATAATTGCGAAACTAACGGATACAGTCTGAACTGCTAATTAAAGCTCGCTACAAAATTATGATAATAATTAAATGACATCAGCTAATTACTATTAGAACGGTTATAATGACCAATAAATGATAGCTTCCTGAATGAAGCTGCGATGGTAGTTTCGATGAAGGCAAATTCTCCCGCTCAACCTATCTACCCCCTTAAACGATCGTGCTTAGAATGCTCACCTTGGCTTTAATGGGCGCCCTTTTGCTTCTAAAGTACTCCATTAGCGAGATCCGCCATGAATCTGAAACATTAAGCTCCTGGCTAGCGTGTTTTCAATGAAATCATCTACAGCAGATGCAGTTCCTTACAGTGGATTAAAAACACAGGAAAAATCGTCATAAGCGAAAGAAAGAAGACCACATATACACGGTGGCCCACGACGATGTTACCTCTTAACGTAAATGGCAGTTTAAAATGAGATTGAGCAATATATTCCATATTATTGGAGTTAGTTACTATTGGAGATGAAATCTTGCCAGCTCGTATAATACTGACATTACCAACAGGCTTTTCTTTTTTTTTTATTCATGTTCCTGCGACTTTTGGTTATAGGGGACGGTGAAAGATTGCAGTTATGTTGTGAAACCGAAAGATCTAAACGACCTTCGTCAACGAATTACCAACATGATTCATTCCGTACTAGTCGTAATATATTACCGTGTCATGGTCAGGATAATCTAACGAATGCATGTATGTGTTCATCGAGAATGTGGTGACGAGGTTTGAGGTGTTTAGTATTTCAAGTGAACTGATGCGAAATGGCCTGCATTCGACTTTGTAGTATTTTCATAGCTACATCCGTACATTTTTATCCGGGTTCAAATACCGAAGAAAGCATGAATCTTTGTAAGTGTATAGTGCCTGTGAGGTAAAAGGGCACTCAAAAAATGCGGCAAGCCGAAAGTCCTCTCGACAGACTGGTAGTAAGGGAAGACGGCTGGGAGATCCTTGGATAGCCCGGGGTATTTTCGCTCAGAATTGGGGCAAAATTGCACAGGTAGCGTGGCAAGTCTATACCTGTACGACCATTGATGAAATTTTGGTGTCCTGCCCACTTCTACCGGTATCTTCTATATATACGTGATAGATTCTTTTAAGTAGAAACACCTTAATGGCCCATCCTGTATACTGCACAGTTAAATGTCAAATTTTTACCATAAATTAGTGACAATAAATAAAACAGACTACAAAACTGAAGACACCGAAAAATCTAAGACTAAATGTACAGTAGCTAAAGAGTAATTCCAAAACAAACTTTTGCTGAAATTATAAGGAATTCCCCCCCTTTCTCGCGGCGTGCCTTCGTGGTGCAATTGCTAGCACGACCGGCTGGCAGTCGGAATATTTGGAGTTCAACTCCCAATAAGGGCATTGCTGACTTTTCACGGTTCTGCTCCAAATCTATAAAATTAAACAAACTACAGAACTGATACTGATTTTTCATACCGGATAAACAGATGAATGTTTGTGCTATATCATGTTTCTGCGTAAAGAGAACCCTAATCCATCGATACAGAAGTTACCACGAAAGGTTTTTCATCATGAGAAGAGGAAAAGAAGAACGTCGAACTCCCATTCCTACGCTGCTATCAGTCAGAACTGAGGGCCAAGCCCAGCAAAAGATATGAAAAGCGAAAAATTCGGTTTCTGATCTAACGCAGATTATTTATGAAACCTTTCGTAGCTCAAATGTGAGATAAAAAACAGCAAAAACTAACTCCAGATTTTATCTTTAGTTTCGGTTTCCTAGCCGATGCTAAAGGAGGAATCAAGTTAGTTTCTAAACACCAAAATGTGGAACCAAAGTTTCTAAACGCCAAAAAGTGGAATCAAAGTTTTAATTTCTGAACAGCAATTCGCAGGCAATCGTAGACACGGTAGCTAATTCTTGTCGTCCAATACAACTGAATATGATCGATTAAATTTAAATGGTAAAAAAAAAAAAAAAAAAAAAAAAAAAAAAAAAAAAAAAACTTTTGAATGACTGTACACCAGCCATATGTTGCTGGAGAATTTTGTTATTAATGTTAGGCTTTATTTTTAAATGCAACTGAGTCGTTTACAAGTAGGTGAGTAAAACATAAAGCTAGTAACCCAGGCACAACATAACGACGACGCATGACTTCATGAAATATTTTAAGGAAATTATACTAATGATATAACTGTATAGTAAATAACTAACATTTACAAAACTTTCAAAAATTCTGTCTGCAGATAACAATTAAAACACTGCGTGAAAGCACCCGTCTAAACAGGAGATGCTCTAATTATAATCTCATTGAAAAATATGAAAATGTTACCATATTGCTCCTAGCCAGTTTTGCTACACTAATGAATACTGAAATGTTATAATTTGGAGGATAAGTTAATTTCTCCTTATTAATGCTTATGCAAACAACATTCTTAGCATTTTACCACTTCCCCAACGCCCACTTGAGGCCGAGCGGTAAAAATCGCTGAACACTAGTAGTTCTGACATGGGTACGATTCCAGGCGAACGGGCTAGCTGCATGGGCGTTTTCGTAGTTTTCCTTATGTGAAACGTGTATACGAGCCAGTTCCCTTATAAAGTCCTTCACCAAAGCATCCCTCTCCTTAGGCAGATAGCCCTCGTGTGCTTTGCCCAACCCCTTCCCCAAGCTGATTAAATTCGATGGGGAGGTTAAATTGACCGCCGTGGCAATTCAAGCTATCGCGTCACTAAACTCTAGTCTCAAGTATTATTTATTATGGGATCTTAAACTCTGCATAAATGCTTTAATGAGTGTTAACCAAAGTTGTGTAATTTTTCCTTCGAAATTAATACATATATTTTAGGAAAAAATAAAGAAGCGCAGTTTACAGACTGTCAGCTAGAACACTGCAATGATCCTAGTATAAACTTCTCTAGAACTGTTTTTTAATAAGTGATATAAATTCATCTTCGAGTCTAATATAATTTAGGAAAAAAAAGTAATAAATAAAGAAGCGTTGTTTATGAACTATTATTTTGATCACTGCCTCAATCCTAACATTAATTTTAGCACTTAAATCTGTTTATTATACACACATTTTAAAATTTACTATAACGCTTTTCTATTCAAATGTTTTCATGTTTTTGTTCGATTTATAACATGAATTTATAACATAATATTGTGTCAAATTGTTTCTTTCAGTTAAAAGAACTGCATAGTTGATTTTCATTTCTACAGTAGCAGATAGCTCACCACACCTTTGCAACTCATAATTTATTTAATTTCTAATAAATTATTAATGAAATACTGTTCAACTCACTGCTCATAAATATCTTCCCATTGTCTATATAATTCGGTGACGTCATCTTTCAGAGAGCGATCTTTGTAACTCCGGCTGTTCCCATATTCTGTCATGAATCGATGTACCTGGAGGTTTACTATGCGGAGTTTCTCCTTTGTTTCTTGCAGCGTCATTAGCGCCATCTATATACAAAAAAAGAAAGTGGTATGAATACTTTGTTTATAGGATTGCGACTTTTATATGTATTTATTATGAATCTTTCTTAAAACTATATTATGGGAATAACATTACAAAATACATTTAATCTTGTCTTTGAAATTTGAAAGACTATATAAAAGAATTTTATAAATCTTGGAAAATTAAAATAAAATACAAAGATTTTTTTTCCAATTTTCACATGGGAATTTCCTGTCATTTATAATAAATGTAAATCATGGCAACATTTTCTAAATTGCATTTTACTAGAAACACTTCAGATATTACATCGCCGATCGCCCCTTGCTTTCTCAGTCTGAAATGGTTTTGTTAACTCATTACAAACGGAGAAATGCTTAATTTGATGGTCGAGAATGAACGTTTCATATTTGTTCCTTATCAAATAAAACAGAAGTATGATTCAAGAATTACTTTAATATTCAAATATTGAAATAATTCCTACAAAATAAACATTATTACGTAAAAAAGTACAAGCGAAAAAAATCAGAAACAATTATTTTAAAAACGCTCGCCCTCGAAAAAGAAAGAAAAATAAATTACACGACACAAAGCACAACATTTTATTCAATTTTTTGTTCTTTAAAAATCAGTTGACGGCATTTAATCTAACCTACCAGATTTTTTTTTTTTTAATGCGGAAAGATACTGAAATTTATACTCAAATTCCAAAAGGTTAATATGAAACGTACCCTATAATACATAATTATTAGTGAAGTAGTCACAGTCAGATTTTGACCTGTAAAAATGTAGGTGAGTATGTAGTAGCAGAATCGTTCACCTGCTCCCTTTTATAAACATGATAACTATCGTCTGACGACTATTAACACACGGACATAGTCACGCTCTTCACTTAACTTTTTTCCCCCTTTTTAAATCATCACATCTAAAATTTGGGCAAATCAATTTTCACGCCGTTAGTGTGAGTGGTACTAAAACGTAATACACTCTTTCAGATTTTCGTTCACAAAAATTACAATGTTTTGCTTTCGCCACTACATAAAACCCATTGAGGAAAATCACGATTTTGCGATTGTCATTGTATTGTGCATTGAATTTCCTAATGGCTCTATTCTTAAAAAGCAATTATTTCTAAGGGGAACAAAAAAAGATGAGTGGGAAGCGATGCATTTTTTGTCTCAAAGTCTTTAAGGAGAAAATAGAACCATTTTGTGGTTTTTAAAAGAGAAATGATATTGTTGTAGAGTTCACCTTAAATAACAGCCAAGACAAGAAATTTTTGAAATTCGAAACTGAAATACTGTTACAGTTAATGTTTAGAATAAATTCTTCTATACCAAAAATTAATCATGGAAGAAAGGAACCATAATTAATAATTTAAAAGGCTTGGAAATATTAGCAATTACCTTCATTTTTTTATTTCTAAAAACGCAACTCGTATATGTGCATATATTTTCAATTTAAGTATACAAATCCAATTTAAATATATATATACAAAAATTTTAAATTTATAAATTATAAGAAAATGATTATACCATCCTGGAAAAATATAAGCAGCTTCAGGGCTTGACTTTAAATTTGTTTAGTTCCTTTTAGATTTGTCATTCGGTTTTTAAATTCTTTTTTAACTATATATATATATACAGTTAAAAAAGAATTTATATATATAAACTATATATATATATATATATAAATTCTTTATATTCTTTATTTAAGAACTATATATATAAGATTGAATTGATTGAAATTCATTGATATCGAAATAAATTTTCTAATACTTGCGCAATAGTTTCAAAGTAATGTAATAATAATTTATTTACTAATGGATTATTGAGTATATTATCTCCGGGTCTGGGTCATAATCCCAACAGCCGAAATCCCGACAAGCCAGAATCCCGACAGTCGGGATCTCGACTGTCCAAAACCCCGACAGGGCCGAAATCCCGACAACCCAAAGTCCCGACACGGTCGAAATCCCGACAGGGTCGAAATCCCGACAAGCCAGAATCCCGACAGGGTCGAAATCCCGACTGTCCAAAATCCCGACAAATTAATATCTAAATACAAACACTCAATTTAGCTTAATAAAATACAATTTTTAACTAACTATTACATATTACTAATTAAAAGTTTAAATCAAAAAATCATAAAAATTATGTCATTACTTAAAATAATTTTTAACAAATTGAAATGACCGTTAAAATTTGAAATGAAGATTTATAAAATTATTTTTATAAAGAAAAAGAAAACATCACTTACACATGCAAACGACATATTTACAGTGACACATTGTGACGAAGATATTCCATCACAGGTCGATTATCACGATCGTCCACAACAGTCATAATTCTCTTTTCTCTGTCATCATCTACCTTCCTACGTTTTGGTTGTTGTTCTCCGCGAAGAATGCATTCAACTTGGTATTCCACATGCTCCTGTTGCTTTTTGAAATCCTTCTATGATGTTATAAACGCCAACATGGCCCGTCCAATTAAGGTCTCCCATCTTCTGTGCCAATCCTAATTGGCAATAATAATAATCCATTGAGTGCGCGGAGCATTTATAGCTGCCTTTTCTAGATCACTAATGATTCTAGGCCTCAGTTCAATATTAATTTCTTCAGCGAAATCAATTAAATCTTGGAATAATCTTTTGTAATTTTCTTCAGATTTGCTAGTCATCAAAGCATATACTAGTTGCAGCTGTGGAAGTATGTTAAAGAGTCATTAGGCCTTATTGGGATTTCGCCCGTGTTGGTATTTTGACTCTGTCGGGATACTGGACAATCGGGATTTCGACCCTATCGGAATTTTGGCTTGTCGGGATTTCGACTCTGTCGGGATTTTGGTTTGTCGGGATTTCGACCCTGTCGGGATTTTGGCTTGTCGGGATTCCGTCTGTCGGGATTCTGGCTTGTCGGGATTTCGGCTGTCGGGATTATGTCCGGATATCATTATCTCCTTGTATAAAGTAAGTAGAATAGTATCTCAATGAAGTAACCGAAAAGCATTGAAATTTAATCTCGAAAATATTTTTTAAAAAAGGAAACTTGAATTTTAATCATGCAAGAAAAATAGAAATGGAAACTTTTAAAATGAAAATGAATAAACTAAGTAATTATCGTCATTGATCGAAAATTCGTTGACTTTTGAATGGGAACAACTAACCTCCGTTCAATTAACAACAGTTAATAAATGCGAAGGTGTTTGGTCTTTTACTCAAGTAAGAAGTATGATGCCAAACTTGTAAATTGAGTTTAATCCAATTACTGAGATTAAAGCGAGATGAATTAATGTTTAGAATTCATTATGAATGCAGCAGTTCCGTTAAGCTAATGATTTTTTTAGATATCTTGAAAGATTATTGCCAAATTGAGCAGTAGTAAAAAATTTCTTTGTTAAATTAACTATAGTAAAAAAATTCTCTTTTATTTAAGTGTCCCCGACACCCTCGCTTTCTACTACTCAATTTGGCAATAATCTCTCAAGATATCTAAAAAATTCAGTAGCCTAACGGAACTGTTACATTCATAATGAATTCTATATGGTCCTCCATCTCACTTTAATCTTACTAATTGGCTTAAACTCAAATTACCAGTTTGGCATCATACTTCTTGAGTAACAGACGAAACACGTATTTATTAAGTACTGTTAATTGAACGGGGGTGGTTTGTTCCCCTTGAAAAGACAACCAATTTCCGACCAATGACGATCATTACTTAGTTTACTGATTAATTTTCATTTTAAAAGTTTCGATTTCTATTTTTTTTCTATTTCTATTTTTTTTAAAAAGAAAATTCAATTTTCTTTTTAAAAAAATATTTTCGGGATTAAATTTCAATGCTTATGGTTTACTTCATTCAGATACAATACTACTAACTTTATATAAGGAGATAAATATACTCAATATTCCATGAGTAAATAAATTATATATATATATATATATATATATATATAAACAAAAATAGACCAGTATTTTTTAACTGTTCAAGAAGTTCAAAGTAACAGATATGCGTAAGATTATATGCGTAAGATTATATAACATTATGCGTAAGATTCTATAGTTTTCAGGAATTTCAGGAGTAATGGAGCTAGTAATATACAGGAAATAAAATAAAGAATTTCATATTAATATCAGATAAATAAGTTAACAGGCATAACAGAAATTTTGAAAGTAGCCAGTTGATTACCAAATTTCTATCAGACAGCTTAGGTTTTTCAGTTTCAATTCACTCTGAAAATTTTTAAGAATTCGTGTGAATGGCGTACGTCACCTTGTTTAAGTATTTGTGACCTTTACCAGTTAAAATATTTTATCTCAAATCCTGATTTAAAAAATCTGATGTGTACACCACATGACGAAATATTAAATTATACCGTTTTTTCGTGCATTTCATTTAAACTTATTGGATTGAAATAAATTTACTTCATCGATAGCGCATAAACCAAAAAAGAATAAATACTCTTTTTAAAATTAACTATATTATTTACTATAGCGACAGTCTGGCGCTAGGTTCACTGACAGCGTTATATTTCATTCATATTATAACTCAGAATGCACAAAATTTATATCATTTGAAGAATTAACTAATCGTTGCCATATGGTCTATTCAAATACTACAATAAATCTAAAACGATGTATAAAAGAAATTAAGTAAACAAAACAAAAAAGAAACTGTTTTTCACAGACGATTCACTATTTCTCATTCAATTAATTCAGTTCTCCCTTCTCGCCAAGGCAAAAATACATAAAAACTCAAAATATACATATTAAAAATTACGAAGTAAATCTTAAACATTTATTTTTTCGAATAAATTCCAGAATGGATTAAGCATAATTTAATTCGCAGTAATAAAAGAAGGCGTTATCTTTGTTGTTGCGAAGCTTAGTCTCTCTAGATTGGCAACAAATCGACTATTCTGCTGTTTCAAATATAAACAAATATGTCCGCCATGTTCTTTAAAAATTAGGCTTAACTGCACTTAAACAACTTTTAAATTGTTTATTAATTGTACAAATATTGCTTGCAGATTTACTAAAGGCATAAAAACCTTAATCGGAAGATAAGAACAACATAATTCAATCATTTTTAAAGCAAAAAATGCACAATTTACAAACATATAAGAGTAAAGAAACTGAGCATCACTGAGCCGAGTAACAGAGTGGATATATATATATATATAATATATTTATATACGTTTGGTGCGGCCGATTGCAACCAAAATACGGAGGTGCACATCTACATGTTATAGCAGTCCTATATACAAAATTTCAACGTTCTGTCTGAGGCTACTCGTTTTTTGAGTTATGCGAGATACGTACGTACAGACGCTACGAAAAATTCTCTTCAGAATTTATTTTAAAGCAGTTATATATATATATTTAAACAAATTTAAATTCTTAACAAATACGTATAAAGTAAAAAAGCAAACATGTAAAAGATTTAATTCTCGAACTAATCCACAATATCATTTAAATTCAGAAGCATTAGCAAATCAAGTGCAAAATCTATCCATGAAAATAATTCAATTTATTCTTATGAAATATTCAATTTAATATATATTCAATTTATTCTTATGAAACAATTATATATATATATATATATATTGATGAAAAGAGTCTTTTATTCTGTCCTTACGTACAGATGTCATGCAAAAGCATCGTTAAGTTCCATTCGATAGCCGTCAAAATGGATATTTTCGTTGAAATATGATGCCTGAAACTTTTCGCGATTACAATACTTCCTTTTTACTGTACAAGGAAGTAATAATGGTAAATTAAAAAGAACATTAATGTAACTCCATAAAAATAATTCTACTTGATAAATATAAGATCTGGATGTCGCATACGTTACAGCTATATATCTACATAACTACTATCAACTATCATAGCTACATAACTACTATCATAGCTATATACCTACTATCAAAAATTGTCAAATTTACTACAAATTTTCTATTACAACTCAGCTGACATCAAGGGCTCTCTTCTTGGGAAAAAATGAAAAGATTTAATCAGAGCGTAAAAAAACCGTTCTTAAGTATAAGAAAAATACATACAGGTACTCCCAATAATGTGAAACGATGATCTGTAATATCATGTATGCAATGGGCCGAGTGGTTTACTGCCAAAGCATGTAATGCCTATTTGCCTTAGGAAAAATGCCTTCTTGCAAAACTTATTTAGAGAACCTGCCTCGTATTCACCTTGAACGCAGCTACACTGAATGTGATAGTGAAAAATCTCGCAAGCAGCAAAGTTCACAGAAGAACATACAAACACATTTTTAATAGCAGTGTACAGCCAAAACGTAATATCTTTCTTAAGAGCACAGTTGACTACTAATAAGTACTCATGCTAATACCTCTTACTAGCTATCAAGAATTTAATCAGAGGAGACTAAAATTGATTTTCTTTACTACAACATTCTCTCCATAGGCCAAATTTAAAGGGTACTTAAATGGGCAATTCTTTGCTGGCGATAATATGTTTGGTCGTTGATCTCAAGAAAGGGTGTTAAACCCTCAGCACTTTTCTGTTTTCCTTCCTCTACCTAAAAAAAAAAAAAAAAAAAAAAGCACGTATATATCTCTTCCTTTCACTAAAACTTTTATCACCATTTCCAGAGTTTCATCTCGCTAGATAACATGAACATTCACGAAAATGAAACTTGTTTCTTCGGTTTTCTTCATCGGAAGAGGACAGAAGTAGGGCATCTATAAGAAGGACGCGAAATATTTACTCTGTTAATTAAGAAAATTTGAATTGCTCGGTTTGATGTAAGAAAAAAAAAGAAAAAAAAAAAAAACTACTTCTACAGTCATTATTCAATTTTTAGTTTGTAACAATAGCAATAAATGAAACTTATGGCTGCTGTTATAGATATTGTTTAAATTTTTCACTCAGCAGAAAATTAAGAAATTGCTGGTAAAGTGTGAGTAAATAAAGATCATTTTAGCTTTCTTCATCACAATCGAGATCTCATTATAAATAAACACATTACAAGGAATTTTGACGTTTAAGACAATGACGTTTAAGACGTTCGAAAAAGACAATTAAAATCGAAACTAACCACCTATATTTCTTCTCATGTTGCAACACGGTCAAACATTACTAGCTTTCTCCGATTCAATTTCCATTCATCGCAAATATCAAGAACTTTCGTTTCTAAAGTTAAGCATTTTGCTCTCCTGTAAGCGTCGGATTCCATGTTTATTATATACCTAGTATGTACAATTATTAAAATGAAAATCTTTCAGTTTCAGAGGCAAAGTTTATTAACGCCCTTATCAATATTTTATAATGTAACGATGGAATTTTCATACTGACTTAATAAGCACTGGCACTAGTCTCTTGCCAGAGGGAACGAAAACACACAAAATACTACTACAAAATAGTATGCATTAAAACCCTCTGAATTAATAACACTTCCTATATAATAACTTACTACCTTAAGCAAGCACATGATTCTCACAAAACAGTCTTAATGACAACAGGGGACGTTCATAAGATAAAGCCCCACAGTTACAAGATCAGAGCAAGGAACCGGGGCAATGTAGAAAAAGGCTAGAAAAATGGACAATATAGGAAAAGCCACGATTCACATGTCATGACGTTCTGGCTCGATTTCGAAGCTCGGAATGCAGAAAGTAAGACAGAACCCAGCGTTTTGGGGCACCGGTATTGCTAGGTACGTTCTGATTCAATACAACTGAGTAAAAATTAGCTATAAGTTTATAAATACTTTTCTGTACATGAACATATATTTTCGGCTTTAATTTTTTTTAAAAAAAGAAAAGGTGTCAGAATACATACCTGTAATTTCGAAATATCCTTTTGCACATCTTCCCAAGAATTAAAGTTCTTAGTTTCAGAATCAATATCAGAGGAAAGTTCCGACATCATGTGAAATAAAGCATCTATATTTTCTTTAGCTTTAACATATTTCTCTTGAACATGGTCTTGCGATTTTTCATACATTATAGTGCTCTTTTGCAAGATATCCCACTCTTCAATCAGATCTTTTTAAAATAAAAAGAAATCAAATAAAAATTCAGTTATTTAAAATGAACAGCATTTCATATTTTTAAATATTTAATGCAGTTAAAATATTTTAAAATATTAATTGAAAATGATCTATGAAAATTCAATAACTAACAAAATAAAAGCAATATTATTGATAAATATGATAGTTTTTAAAAATAATTCTTGATTAACTGAAAATTTATGGGTACACAATTTAATTTTCCTTTCTTTTCCCCCTTTTTTTATTTTATTATTTATTTATTTTATATAAAATATTAAAAGGTTAGACTCATCTAAAAGCTCAGCAATATATCATAAAAAAGTTCATTTACTTTTCATTTTAAAGACATTCGAGGAAATATTTAAAACTCATCTTTAACGATAAAAGAAAAAAGCAATTTATCACGTATTTAGAATTTATATCAACATTAATTTTACGTTACTTTTTCTGTTCACATTGAAAATAAACTTAGTACTTATCTAGTTTCTATATTAAGAAATAGATGGCGCCACTCTCCAAAAGAGATTTCTATATTTTTTTCCTATATATCAGGCTGCTCATAAAATACTGAGCTTAAAGCTAAATTAAATAAATATAATATTGCATACATGTAAACGAATAAGCTTTTTCTACTGTCGTTAGAGAATAAATTATATTTAAACTCACCAGTACTAAATGCCGTGGCCGACTAGTTACGTCACGATAGTACATAAACCTTTCGGTAGATGGCAGCATGACATTACGTTATTTTGACGTGGATACATTAATAAATAAGCTTGGAATTGACTGATTGCCAAATTTCACAAAATCCGGAATTTGGAATGATATGTCTAACTCTCACTATAACGTTTTTACAAGGTACTAGACACAATGAATACGCATTCATCAATTTTTATCTTACGTAACTAATGAGAATTCTCTTCAAAACATGTATGAACACAATTCTTTAAAAAGCATTAACATTTGCGTAAATTCAAATAATAATATGTAGAATAGTTTTCATATAAACATCACATTACTGCATGAAAATCGGAACTACTTGAAAGGAAAAGCGAATGAGAAATTCAGATAATGCATTTTAGACGATAAGAGAGTTTTTGCCAGTCCAATATCTGCATGCATTTCAATTTGAAGAATATTTTAAGAAAATTTACCATGAAGCCTCTTCAAGTCACAGCTCGGGAAATTGCTCTCTTTGCCATCGATCTCTATGCGCTCGCAGATTGTCTGTAAACAACGCAAATGAGTCCCACATGTTGCCAGAAGTTCAGCCTAAAATATAAAATACGTTTGATTTTTTTACGTATAATAAAATAGGCTTAAAACATAAATAATACAAACAAAACAAACACTATGATGAATAACATAAACAAAAATACAAGAGAAGAATTAAATTGCATACAAAAGAAAGCATATTGCAGCGATAGTATTGCTTGCATGGTTGTTGGTTTTCCTATATTAACCAGAATTATATATAATGGATTAAGTACAGGTAATTAAACACATATTATTTTAAAGAAAACAATGACGTGATTTCTGAAAAGCACATTTTTGAAACACACGCAAGAGATTTCTTAACATTTGCTGGGAGAAGGTGCTCGAAATGTGTATTTTCTGCAAAGCAAAAGCTATACACACACACACACACAACATATAAACAGAAAATAATTGTATAAGGCCACTATAGCTGAATAATTTGATCGTATTAAATAACTAAGTATGTGACTAGGAAAATTATTTAATTAAAAAATTGTACTTTTCAACTAATATATGAAAAAAACTTTAAAATATTTCATATATGAAAATTAGTTAATTAAACTTTAAAAACACACTTTAATTAGATTATTAAAAATATTACAGCATTTAAAAACATAATATGCTGAACATCCATAGTTTAGTTGAAATCATATGTAACCACTGCAAATCGATTTCATAGCGGATATTCATATTACTTTCAAACAAATTCATTCTTATTTCGGGCCCACCAGCGGCCGACCGGTAAAATTGCTGAACACTGGTAGTTCCGATGTGGGTTCGATTCCAGGCGAATAGGCTGGCTGCATGGGCGTTTTCTTGGTTTTCCCCATGTGTAACATGTATACGAGCAAATTTCGCTCAGAAAGTGCTCCACGAACGCATAGGCAGATAGCCCCAGTGTGCTTTTTCATAATCAACAAAACCGCATAAAAAACATTCTTATTTCGTGGCTCCAGCTTTTAATAATCAGTATATAATCTCAATGGATGCTGAGTAAATGATGTAAAATAAAAAAGTTGTTATAAATTGCACTCATATTGTACATAAATTATAGTAAAAGCAGTGGTACTTTTCATACCACGTGGCTTTTTCAGCAATAGTGATGCTATTTTTCTCAAACCTCAATTTTTGTTCGTACCACTTTTCAAATGTTGCCACCATATATATATATATATATAATGCAAAATTTAACACTTTATCGTGAATCTAAAGCTATGCGGTATAACATGATAATCCAATCCGATATACGAAACGTGTGTGCTAACTTTCACGCGCCATTTTGCAAAGCATAAGATAAAAGCTTTTCTTTTAAATTTTAGTGCACCTGTACTGATTAACAAACCAAGCGATTTAAAAGCAAACACAAACAGTTCTTTATCTCTTTTATTAATTACCAACTCAGCTCGTGAAATAACACTAACTGGATTTATTAAAATCTTTTTTTTTTTTTTTTTTTTTTTTTTTGTAGTAACTATATTAGGCGGCTGGCCGCTTCAGCGGCTAGTTAATTGAAAAGTCAAACGGACAACAAAGCGATTCAACGCAAAAGTGATAATAGTCCTTCTCGGCTAAAATATGTATGGCAATACTTGACACTGTATCGGGAATACTAAAGATATGCTGTTTTTAAAAATTTTTTGATTTTGCTCTTGAATTTTATGTGCATAAGTGGGAAGAAAATGATGTTTAATAATAAAGTGTAAAAGACAAAAAAGTTATGTCAGCAGAAGCGAATCCAAGAACAGGGAACTCAGCGAGAGAATAAAAAACATTAACAAACACTCTAGTGCGAAGTTAAAATCCGAATCCTTTCAGGCTATTTGGCTTTAACAGAAACGTATCGATATTTATAACAGCAGTGGTTAATAATTTTAAACATTAAAAAGAACTTTCATATATTAATAAATTGTGTATGATTTTGTAAAAAAGATTTCAATTATTATAATACGTTTTTGATGAAATAACATCACATAAAGGCTTAACAAAAGAAAAGGCGTAAGTATTATTTAAAATAATTAATGAAAGTGCAAAATCGTTTTTAAATTATATTACTTTTCTCCATGTATTATCATTTAATTTATAAACAGATGTCTCGAATATAAAAATAATTATCAAACGAAGATAATAATGCACAAAATAATACAAAAAATATTTTTATTTCAGGTAAGATATAGAACTAGTATTATTTATTAAAACTGCATCTTTAAGTCACTCAAATTTTACAGCAAATTTCAACATTAAGATAAATCATAATAAGAAAATAAATGTGCAGCAGGATTAAATACTTTAAGTACATGAAATTAATTATTTATTAATTTAACACATTTACCTAAATACATTTTATCTCTTCCTTTCGCTGCAGAATGAATCTAGCAATCATAGGAAGTATTTAAAAAATTAGGCATTCAAAATATAATATTATGCAATCTATTTAAATTTTAACAGAATTGTCATTGCTAGCCAAGTCATAGAATTCTTAATTTTTAAGAAATGTTAGATTTATTTACAGTCATTGCTCTCGCGATCAATAGATGGCACAGCGATCGCCGTAAAATTTAGTATTGTTTAGATAACAAAGCTGTCCGTTTCACAATATCCTATGAAATACAATAAGTAATTTCTTTGCAATTCATTAAGTATCAAGAAGGACCTATGACTAAAATTTGCTTAACATGACCCTCTTTAAATTACACATGACGCAAGTGCGGTTTCGAAGTGAATGCTTATTTGTTATACAATTCACATTGTTTTGGTCAGAATAAGAGAAAGAACATTTTCGGAAGGAATGGCGGTGTGCCAAATATAAAGTGCGAATCAAGGATCAAGGACCATTTATTCACGTGCGTTTGGTCACGGTCACGTGAAAAGCTGCCTTGTAAACACGAAATGACATTCAATCGGGACTGCAACTATAACACGGTGGTACCGTGATACGTTATACGGCATCAGATTTTCACCGGATTATATGGTTAATTCGTGAAACGTTCCCCCACATACGGCAAATGAAATTTCATGTCGAAGAAGACTAAGTTAAAGCTGCTTTAATAATTTAATATTATTATACTTCCTTGAACCAGTTCTCCGTATTTTAGAAGATCGATTTAAGGACGGTTTGTTTATTAATTATTAAATAATTTATTTGAATCTTAAATGTGAATTTTTATACTGGCTCAATAACATGGCTCGGTTTAGGGGCCATAGGCACAATACTTCTTCAGGGTACCCCAAAACCCATTTTTCTTTCTTTCATAGAAGAAAAACAGCATTTAGAGAAATTATAAGGTTTTGGGGGGTCCCCTAAAATCTAGAGATTTAGGCTTCGGCCTAACTAGTAATCGAGCCCATAGCCTTGGGCCTGGGTTCGAATACTAGACACATACACATACACTTGTATGTGCATAGTGTTTTTTCGGCATGGGGGCATTTAAATACTGTCGAACCAAATGGAGACCGTCGGATCCGTCGCCCGCGCCCCGCGCGTGGTTCTTCATCAAAATTGGCATGCAGCCTAAACAACGGCAAGGTAAATGATACGTTGAAACTCAAGACGGCGGGCTCGCCCCGTCGATGGTTGCAGAGTTATGCCACCCAAACATAGCAATTAAGATTTTTATCTATAAGAGTACGTTCAGTTTTATTTCTTCCTTTTTGCCATCTTTGCATTAAATAATTTATTTTCGCTGTTACTGGTTATTTCTAAAATACGGAATCATAATTATTTAATAACAAATGATTTTTTAACTTTTCGAACAACAGCAAATCTCTATTAACTTCAAAAGCATCTTTATATTTTCATTTTTAGTTCAAAGGGGCTTTGTCCCTGAAGGACTATTGTTTTCGTTTTGCTATTTTGCGTTGAATCACTATAAATGTCCGTTTCACTTTTCAAACTGTTGCCACAAAATGTTAGAGTCCTGCATTATATTTGAAGAAATTAAATAATGAAAAAACCTGCAAAATGTAGTATATTTCTCACATTGTGATAAAACAACGGTCCATAGAGCCATCGAATTTTGAATGACGTAATCCTACTGCGAATATGGGCATGTGGAAGCGCAAATTTGAAATTTGGAATTTGTTTTATTACCGATTTCATATTTTGTAAAACGTTAACGAATTTTTGAGTAACAAACTCAACGATTTGAAAGCGGCAACAATATCTGCGGGGAGGGGGGAAACCTTTTTATCTCCAGCGCGCGGAACTGTGTATCGGAAATTCTAAAGATAGGATCATTTAAAAATTATTTTGCGACATTGCTATTGAACTGAAATTTATGGTTTAAGTGCGAAGAACATGATATTTAATAAATAAAGGTAACTCACAAACCGTTAAAAAAACGCCCCTTTAAACGTAATTTAAAATCTGAAACCTTTCAGATTTTTTATATTTTTTTTTAATTATTATTGCACAGGTATGCAGGGATATATTTTATGTAGAACACGAAGTTACTAAGGATTAGTACAGATAATCATAAATTTCATATGTACTTGCGGTATACAATTTGCGTTTTAAAGTAAATTTTTTGAACGGTTTCTTGAATTCAGAAATAAAGCCAAAAATATTCTGTATAGTGAAACACAGCGTAGATAAATTTACCACGTGCTCATATACATCAAAATAGCTTACCGAAGGTATCGTAAATGGTCTCCATCAGCAGCAACTGAACTCAGTTTAGTCCATCAATAATTCTAAAGTACTCTAAACCCTAACACCAGGCTTTACATAGGAGGCTTTAACATATCAGAACCAGGAATAGAAATAGAGAAATCTTTTCTCGAATATCTTGGAATTTGACTTGCAGTAAGTATCCCACAAACTGACTTCAGTTTCGGTGTCTAACTATCCTAGATATTTGGGTTATATTTCATAATGCCACCAATTTTATCGCGAAACAAACTATTTGTCTGAGAAACAAAAAACGCGTCAAACATACGAGCCATTTTTAAGCACATGAACTATATTTCAATCTATCGCTATAGCAATGCTATTAGCATCAAAGGACACAGAAATTTCT